CCGACGCATCTTCTAGGGAATCCGGTGATGCTGGCACAAACGGACATAAATTCAGAAAGCGGGAAGGTGCCATTTTGTGTCAGCCACTGTCCAATTTTTCAAGTGTTGTTTCTTGTTTTGCGCTTGCAACCAAGAACAGCACGCCGATACCGGATAAGCATGCCTAAAACACATGGGCGTGTGTTGTGTTTGTGTGCGTGCTATACTAGGCATCCGACTCCGTGTTTTACAGCCACCAATGGATTTCGTCAGCAGAGTTTAATCAGTTAAAAACTGCCGGCAGAAACTTCCAGGCCGCCTCGCTGAACTGGGGATTACACACACCCGTGATGTACCTGTACTACAGGGAACTACGGGATGCTCCGTGCGCCTTTCCCATTGTAACGAATTGTCGACAGCAAAAAATCAGGACACATGTGCTTGTCCGTCCCGGTGGCTCAGTTGGTTAGAGCGCCTGCCTTCCGCTCCCCTCACCCGTGGCGGGGTGGGTTCGAGTCGCTTCAGGGCGCTTGCTATTTGTCCTTGACAGGTATGACCTGCGGCTGGTGGCAGCGGTCACGCTGTAGGTCAGTTGACGTCAGAGGACAGGACGGACCGTGCCTAGCATCGTGGCACGTTAAGCTTTCGCCGCTAAATTCATCCGTTGCCTGAAATTGCGCGATCGGATGGTGCGGGTCGGGGCTCACACAACAAGCCCTGCTTAGCATGAGCGCCGATCTTAGATACCCATCCATTCAAGGCGTTCGGGTCAAATTTATAAAGAAATTTCAAACTCGTCAAATCCATGATATCATCATTAGTGTGTATTTTGGACTAACGTTTGCCTCAATTGTGGAGCGTCACGCCCGCATGGCCGCGCGCCCCGCGCTGCGAAGCATCCGTGGAGACGCGTCGGACACCGTGCCGGCAGGGCACCAGCCGCCCAACTCACTACCACGTGCTGCACGACGATAGCAACTTCACGGCCGACGACCTGGAGATCCTGACGTACTACATGTGTCACCTGTTCTCGCGCTGCACGCGCTCTGTCAGCAACCCGGCGCCCTCCTACTACGCCCACCTGGCCGCGTACCGGGCGCGCGCGCACCACGACAACTTCCTGCGTGTCAACGACATCGGCGACGACCAAGCAGCCTCGCCCGAGCAGTCGATCGCCGCCTGCTCGCCGAAGACGGTGCCCATGTACTACGTGTAGGCGGCGCGCCGACGCGGCCGGACCGTGCCGGGCTGGGCGGCGCCGGCCGGCGTGAGTCGGCGTGCTCGCGGCGGCCGCGGGCGGGGCGCACGTACGTGCTGTCGAAGCTCTCCGCGGAGAGCTGATGCACGTTGGCTGGACACTTCCCGCCATGTATCACGGGTGATGGTACAGGACGTCGGGTCTTTTTGTTGTTCTGCGTGGTTTCCGTGTGCCGCTTTATTGAATGGTTCTCACAGGCTGTCTTTTTCTTACATGATCCAAGCGCCTGGATCGCTTTAGTCGCGAATGCTTTTCAGTATCAATCAATAGGCTTTATATTTGGCAGTATGGTGCTAGCTAGAGGACGTAGTCACATCTTGCTGCGTGTTAGTTTTAAGATGCCGAGCGCATTGTCGTCAGCCTTATCAGGTCGGTGACATGTATTCCCCCGTGATGCGATCTCGCCCATCCAACCCCCGGCAACGCACACCGCGCCAGCGCCCCCGACAGCCCAGAATGCACGCATCACGCCTGTGACGTGCGCCCCGCAGAACGCGCACATCTGTGACTTGCGCTCCGCACAGAAAGACATACGCGCGCCTTGGCTCGTGCCTCCTGGGGTAGAGGCAGCCGCCGCCGCGCCGTCCACGTGCTGTTGGACGGCCGCTGCCCCCTCGCCGCCGGCGTCGCGGCGCCAGCTATGTGAGGAGCGGCGCTCCGACCAGCGCCCGCTCGCTGTCCGGCGGGTTGGCGCGCCGCTCCGAATTGGTGGCAGCCGGTCGCGCTCGCGCTCGGGCGCGGCCGGCCGCGTGGCCCCGGCTTACATAACCGAACGATGTCGGGCGCGGCGCGGTGGACGGGGCCGGGGTGGGGGACGGGATCCGGGCGAGGCCGCCCATCCGCACGGCATCGCGCCAGCGTCTTGCGCTGTGGTTTGTACCAGTGTTGGGGGTTGTTCAGCGTGGTGAGATGCGTGCTTCCGTTCCGTGGAGGCCCTGTGACTTGCAGTCCGCAGTGGCTTGACGAGTGTGATTAAGCGCACGGAAGCTCACGTTACAGCGTTAACTGCACATGACTTAACGATGGAAATTTGAAACCCGTTCAGAATCTTGTCACGCATGCTTTGGACTGGCGACCTCGCCCGGGGTGTGCAGTCAACAGTTATTAGCGTGGACTGGGCTGGGAAGCCACACTAATCGTTGGCTGGGCTTGTAGTTTACTCCCACCGTCTTAGGCTGCGCTTGTAGTTGAGGTTTTCGCATCGGGATGGGCTTGCGCTTGGTGATAATCGTCTGGCGTTGGGGCTGTACCTTACAAGTTAACGCATTGGGGTTTGGCTTCAAGTAACAATGGTCCCAGTATGGCTTCTATCTCGCATACGTGCGGAAATGGTTTGGAACCAATACACTGCCCAGGCTATTGCTTCGTGTTTTGATGACTGCTCTTTACGTCAGCTGCAGGTGGCGTGAAGCTGGGCAGGTAACGCGGCGACCGCTGGTCCCCGCGGTTAACGCGTCCGCGTTAACTACTGCGCGTCTGGGAAACCAGAGATACGAGGTTCGATTCCCCGCGGTACCCACCCTACCTGCCAGGGTGAGAGGCAGGCGACACCACATAGCCTCAGCAGCTGAGTGCGTCGTAAAGTACCTATGACACACATATAGTGAAATATCTGAAAATGCAAGCGAATAGGTAAGGGGTGAGCATAGCAGGTTGGAGACAGCTAACGGCTAAGTATGGAGTGGACACAGCTCCAAATGGTAACGAGCGGGTTGAGTCAAGGAAGTCTTACCCGTAGTGGTCTCTGGCACGGAGACAGCCAGAGGGGTAGCGGGTGAAGTTGGTAAGGGAGAGGTAACTCGTGAAGTCCTCTCGACTGCAATCGCCTGGGCAATTGTAGACGTCCTTCCCTTTTCATTCCAAAAGACCACCTTCCCGTTTCCGTAAAGCTTTGCCCGGATAAGGCCGCTAATTCAGTATGCCTTTAAACAAAATGCTCATTTGTTAGTTTTGCGAGTTCAAAACTTCAAGCGCGTGTACCGAATTATACACTTGCTATGTGTGCATCATGACCTTGAAGACGGCCCTCGCAGTGTAAACAGGAACGTTATAGACCCAGCCCAGTACTCTCTGGATCATTAAGGGGGTTTCCTTTAGCTGAATCTTTAAAATCCAAATGCGATACAAAGCCTCCGTTTGGGCAAAAGAGCCTACGTAAATATTTAGCCGGTTAAAAACACTTGTCCCCGCCTGCCGGCAGGAGGCACCCGCCCTACTGTTTTCTTTTTGTCCCGAAGGAGCTGTTGCATCGTTCGTCTAGCTGTTCGCAGGTCTTGTATATTTTATTTTGTTTAAAGCATTGCTATGCCCGCGTCCGTTGTTTTCAGCCTGCATATGATTTATCAGATTGCGTTGCTTCAATAGAGACATCTGCTACCTTGTGCGACACTTGTTCTTATGTTTGAAGACTTCATGGTAGTTGTAAGTTTTTCACACTAAATTTCACAATTGTCAACCGAGTGGCAACTATTTTCGCTGATCATACGTGGATCTAAGCAAAATGTTGGGCCGCAAAGAACGGGGTCAGCTGTTATCGTGCCAGATGACAACCAACTTCATTAGGGCAGGGAAAAGGCCACATGACAACGTGCCCCCTCCCCCTCTTAGGTCTCAAGGGGCCCAAAGGATCCCACGGTACCGACGGTGATGACCCAATCGCAGGGTCTAATGGGCTCGAAGGGCTGTCCTTAGTCATGTTAAGGGACCTTCGCCCGCAGAGCCGATCCCTCAGTTGTCAGAAGGACTGCGGCGACCGGGAGGTCCCTGGAACAATGCGGTCCTTTGCGCCTGTCCGAGACTACGAAAAAAGCAGAACAGTCCGCTCCACGTCGTAAATAAGCTCTGTGTGCTTACTGGGAACACTTTCCCGCGGAGATAAGGCCCAGTTTCAACCAGCGACCCGATAGACCGATGTCCATATATTTCGTAACTTTCCACAAGATCCAGTGGCTTTTTAGAAGTTACACGTCATCATTGATAAAAACGGACATAAAAGAGACAATGTGAAACCTAGTAAAAATAGCCTAACACATCACACATCGGCCAAGGGATTATCTCGGTGAATCACACTACTGCATTCACATTGCAGCGTCACACACAATCGAATTCACTCACGCTAGCAAGCTAGGGACCTCCGTAGGGGACAGCCGACAACACGAAAAGACTTCTGTAAGAGCTGCGTACTAAGTTTATCTGGCCCACAGGATGTCGTCGGGTTCATCGTAGACATAGCTGCAAGCAGCTCATCGCATGACACAGGATGCACCTTAAATGAGCAGGTCATAACTCGGGGGAGCCTGACTGGCAAAACCGTGCTTCGGTTCGGCACGCTGGCGGCAGTCGTAGGCCCTATCTTCGCAAAGTAGCCATTCGAAGTATCAGGATGAATGTTAGGTATGGCTGACGTACCCTGTTTACTGCCAATAACCGATGTAACGCACCGCCACATGCCGGAGTGACCTGCCTCAGAAATCTGCTTCCTAATATGAGCGCGACAGTCCCGTCTAATAGCTGCCCGTGTCTGCTTATTGAGTGCCTTGTACTCAGCACGCGAACAGCACGCTAGAGCGACGCGGCGGCGAACCATCAACACGCGCGTATCAACTGAGACAGGTGGGGCGGATTGACAGCGCAGTTTAATGCGCCGGGCAGGCGCGACGGCATTCAAATGGGGTGTAAACACTCCTAGAAAAGAGTCCCACTTCTCAGACGTCGTCGCACTTCCATAGACGAGAGACCAGTCGGCGTTCACAAGCAAATCATTGAAATAATCAAAATCAACTCGATTCAGGCAGCGGGATGTGATGACATTGGTTTGACGTTTCCCTTTCGATACTTTCAGCAATATTCGCGTGAAGTCATGCGGACTATACTGACAGGCGGTGACACCACAGCGTTGGATGAGGTCCTTGTGATTTGTGATCGTAACATCTAACAGCGAGCCAGCAGGACGTTGAATAGGAATCGTTACACATATGCAGATTGTAAGACCTTAACAGTTGCACCAATTTCTGATAGCCGGTACCTGTGCTCGAGCCAATCAGGCTGATGTTTAAATCACTGGCGATCACTATTGGGCAGTCATATGTGGACATTATACATTGCAACTGGTTCTCCAAATCATCGAGATCATCAGACACCTGCCGGGCTGTGTTAGTGGGATGTCGGTACAACGACCCGAAAATAATCTGCTTTGGTTTAGCGTGTCGAACAAGGGTCCAAATAATCTCAATATTCGATGAACTAACGGCAGTATGAGGCGTTTTCAGAACAGTCACATCAAACGAGTCTCGCGCCAGAACTGCGACCCCTCCGTAACCCCTAGGCAGTCCGCTGTCTGCAGGCCGGTGGTGTCGGTACAGCCAGTACCCATCAATGTTCAGCAGCCGGGCGGGGACAGACGGCCGCAGCCACGTTTCCATGAGTGCGAGGATATCAAACTGGTGCATCTCAGCTAGACTGTGACGTAAACCTGGCAGTTTGGGCTTCAAACTTTGTATGTTTAACTGCGCGATGTATACTTCACCCGCACGGCGTTCGCCGGGCGCCCGCCACCTCGCCCCTCCCCTACAGCCCCGGCGCCGCGATCGCTTGCCCCGGCGCGCCGGGCGGCTGCCACCTGAGTCAGGCCCGCGGCCACCAGAGGGCCGGCCCGCGCTCACGCCCGCACCCAAGCCGACCAAGGCAACCCTGGTCTCGCCCCTGGCCGCCGCGGTGACCTGGCGCGGTCCGCACTCAACAGCTGACCCCGCATGGCCCGAGGGCACGCGCCGAGCCGGGAGCCAGGGATTTGGGGCCGGCAAGGCGGCCCGCACGATAACCTGGGCGACCGCCAAGGTCACCAATAGGCGGAGCAGCTGGCGATTCGTTGCAGAACGCAGGCTTGCCGCTAGCTTGATAGCTTGCCGAACCAGGGTCACTGCGCCAATTAATGGCCCCTGCACCGAAAAAGGATTATTTTATGTCCATAGCGGCCGCATTGTGACGAGCCGAGGCCAACTGCCGCGAAATGTCGCTTGGCGGGAGGGGGGGGGGGGGGGGGGGGAGCCCATTCGAGGCGCGTTCCAGAGCCTCCGTGCGGCCGGCCATACGTGCTGCGTGGTTCGCCCGTGATGGCCGACACCCCACTGCCCGTGATTGACCTGAGCCTGGCTGGCGGGCTGGATCGGGCCCAGCTGGCCCAGCGGCTCACGACGGCGCTGGAGACGACCGGATTCTTCTACGCGGAGGGCATTGATGGTTACGACGAGGAGGAGCTGATGACGTACACCAGGTGGTAAGTGGAAGGAAGGATGTTTGTGAGTCATGGAGAGAAGCTAACCACCGCGCAGCTAAGCACGGACAGACTGTTCCTGTTTCTGTCGAGGGGGTTGGGCCATAATTAGAGATACCGTAGGGGTTCTGGCCCCCAGAACCCGACCCCCGGCTAACCTAAAATGTGGGTATAATCAAGAATATACAAAGCAACACAGAACCTGGACACCCATGGCTATATTCTGCCTGACCTACATCTGAATCATGCCTATGTATGCACAGAGCAAGGATACTAGGGACATTCAAGCGCGAGAGCCTCAGCGACTCCAGCCGCTTGCATGTATCATGTTAGGCTTGTTTACAAAATGTATCACAGTATTCATTGGTCTGCCAAATGCAAGGTTTTCATGCATCCCCTTTTTTGTATCACACCACACAAACAGTATCAAAGCTGGGTAGAGAACTGAACTCAACGTATTTCTTTTACTCAAAGAAACTTGACCACTATATTGCACCATTCCCGGAATGGAGGAGGGAAAAATTCAAGAAATGCCCTTAAAATAAAACCTAAAAGCTGAATATCACAATTTGAGCTCTTATATTCTCGGATTTGTAGTCAAGTTGGTTGATTACAAAAATGACGGAACGGATCTAAGGCTCTACGTCTATTTAATTACTTTTGCTTTTCTTGGTATCATACGAGTGTGATGCATCTTCACTTTTCCTTCCTTTCCGATCATCCTTAAAGGCACCATCTATGGCCTAAAATGTTGACCAACTTCTGTGTAAAATGTTCCGACTGCAGACTTGCATATATTTCCCACATAAATTGGATTAGTTTGGCGGGCGTCCAAAAGCATGTTTGTTATGCACCCAACAGTGAACGATTCGTAGGAAATGAAAGAGACAATTTGAAGCACGTGGCTTATCGTTGCCGTCATATTTCCCCTGTTAAACTCCAGTTAGCCGTTTTTTTTTTTTTTGGCTGATGGCGGGGCTCAATCATGGAAAATCTAAGCCACTCCATTTTCACTACTTCACCACGTTACACCATCCTGCTGTACATAGGTTCGGGACAGACCTGGCGCAAGTAATGCTGAAGTGTTTCGTGGCGAAATACATTTTAATCTTGTAGGTTGGTGGGCAAGAATGATAATTATATTTTGTGGGTAGGTTTAGTGACTGTCAGCAAACCATGCGAAATATACTGACTTTTCGCCTGGGGGGGGGGGGCAGAAAGAAGCCTGCCCTAAAAAAACAGCAAGTTTCTCCTGTGGACCACATAATTGCTAGCCTTACGTGCTTTCAACGCATGATGTGTAACCAGATTTGGCCATTTTATGTTTTAATCCATTGAGTTTTGTTGATAAGACAAGTTGTGATGCCACAATACATGTGATTAAACTATTTTTCCCCACTCTTGATCATTTGCCACCAATTTGTTTAAGTGGTCCCTCAGGTCTGCTTTAACAAGATGGTGTCCACAGTTGCCTTTGTCTGCGAACTGGCGACAGACTGCACTGTAGATATCCACTATATTTCTGAACACAGGAATACTCTATGCTGCACAGCAATTACAATATGAGGTAAATATCAGTTTTCAACACATCGTCAAACCACCCCATTTTAAGTGTAAAGCAAACTTCTCAAGCTTCAAGTCATTTAATATGAATAGCAAAAGCTGAATGGATACCCTTGATGCAGCTAAGATGGCAAGCAGCAAAACTGGCGTTGTGGTCATCTTTGAGTTATGTTATGTACGGAGAAGAGAGATTGGTTTGTGGAACATACTCACCATTGTCCGTGGCAGAGGCTAACTTTTGAGGTTAACTTTTCCAACTTTTATAACTTAAATTTTTTTACTCCTGTACGGTCTTTTTGTGATGTAACTGTTCACTCCCACCCTACTTCAAGAGCGATTCTAGCTCACTGGTTTCTCTTCAAGGGTATGCAGATAAACCTCAAAACGCACAGGGTCAACAAACCTGGCTCCAGCCGTGTCGTGCTGAAAAATTGTGGTTTTGGTGCGGGAGAAAGATGCAGGCATGGACGCCATGGAATAGTGGGTAACCATTTATTGGGAAGATTAGTTTGATTCACGCCAGCATGCCTCCATATTCCTGTTGTTTGTTTTGAGGTAAGAAATGTCTATCATTGGTGTAAGAGAACCCCGTTTTTCTTTTGCTGGCAATATTTATGGCGCGCCCCAGCGCCCCAGTAGGTATCAAAACAGTATAAAGTGATGAAGGTTGTGGTATTTTCAGTGTCCCACTCCTGTTTACAATACGAATTTGTCCCAGATAACGCGGAAGTGCATCCCACACCTGCTTCCCTTACTGTGAAGTGTGAGTGAGTGAATTTATAGGCATACAGCCTTTCGGTACTGTGTATGAAAGATAATTTAACTCTAAGAATGCTCAGAAGTTAATCTTAAGGGCCTGTTTTCTTATATGGGCTGGGGAGACAGCCTGCGAGCCCGAAAAGGGCAGTTGGGAGACAGTCCAGCATACTTTTCAACCTCTGGGCGGCAGGAAAGCGGTCCTTTGCATGCCGAGCGGCGCCTCTCATTAATGAGCTTGTTGCCTGTGGATGTTCAACGACCCAATTTAACAAGTTTTAAGCGCGTTGGCAGGTCCTTTTTTGTAAGATGGGGTTGTCACATGTTGGCTATGCGTGCATGCATTTATGTATGTTTTATCCCTTATCACTTCCCGCTATTTTTTTGACATACCGTTTTATCTCCTAGACTAATGACACATAATTGCCACGTATGTATGTAGAGTGTCATTTGATATCAAATGCAAATACAATGCAATACAAAGGCTACGGACACGTTGTGGCGAAGGCGGCGTTGCGTATATGATTAAATGTACACTGATTGCAGCGAAATTGTTCGCAGTGTCATTTCACCTCCCCGACCCTTTCCAGCTACACTTCTGACATATCTGCATGATCTCAGGTTCTTCGACCTTCCACATGAGACAAAAATGGGCATCGCCAGGAAAAGGTTTAACCCGAAAACGAATATTCAGTATCGGGGATACTTCCCAGTTGACAAATCAGATTCTTCGCACAAAGAAGGTGAGCGTCACGTGCCCACGCAGGGCTGTTATGCCATCGTGTCCAACGTAGGATCTGTTTTTGAAGCACTGGATGCCATACCTTTAAGCACGTACATTTGGACCATGGGTGGTGAAAAGACATCGCATCTTCAGATAACGACGGGGGCGCGGTTTTCATCGTTCCGGCGTGCTTAGGATCAGCCTACCGCATCGCAACACTTAAGCCAATTGTTGTTTTTTTTTTCTCCGAAACTAGTGAGGTAGGACTCCGAGTGGCCTGAGCAACGTTTACAGTGGCCAGCCAGTTTCACGAGGTCTCGAATACAGACCTATTGTTGAGAGCTTATTCGGATCATCAATGCATTTGCAGGTGTCGTATGGCTGGCTGCAAAGTTATGGAGGGCGCTCGCTGTCTGTTCGAAAGAGTGCTTAAGTCTTGCATCAGTGATAGCGCTGGAGGTGGCATTCGAGACATTCGATTAATTAGAAAGAAATCGTAAATAGTTGAATATATAACACTTGGTAGATTCACGAATACCATTTTGGGAGTGACCTTGATCTGGAATGGCAGCAGAACGTTTGGCGCATTCCCAGAGAGTATGCTGAAAGTGGGGATTGTACTAAGAGGTGCAGCGGACTCAACTCTTTCGACGCCTATGCTAATTCAGAAAACCGTGTGTAGCTGCCATGGCATTCGAGACATTTTACGTTCACGAATAGTTCATCATAAAAGTACCACCAACGCGGCGGGTTAAAAGTGCAGCACGTTCGCAAGCAGTGACAAACTTCCCTAACCCTGTGGGGCATATTTAGACGTCTATGATTAAGAGCTGGCGATAGGAAAACAGTGCGCGTGTTCAGACACATATCAGTTTGCACGGCCTTCCGAAGTGTGCGTTCGCCGGCGCCTATCTCAACAAGCCGGTAGATAACGTGTACACGGCATCCGACACACACTCCTCGCCCTGATCGTACGAAACATTGAAACTGCGCCGCCTTTGTTCATGTTCAAAACTTCGCTGTTTGGTGAGGCACTTGCCATGCCTGAATTATTGAAAAGCACGCATCCCACACAAATATTGGCATCAACACATGCGTCCAAAATGCTGTTTGCACAAGATATGTTCGTTGATTAAGGCCTTCAACTTGCATGATTTTATGCGTGAATGGTTGCACCGGCAATTCTTCACGTGGGTTTTTTCGTATCGTATTAACTGGCACATTTTTCAAAGGATACGACTTGGCATCGCTGGAACCACTGCATGATCCGGAGAAGGCCAAATGGAACATATTCTACGAGCCCACGCCGTGGCCGGAGACAGACGACGTGGAAGGGCTCAAGCGATTTCAGGTGACCTGGATGCATCTGCAACTGCTTAAAGATACAGGACACGGTGCCTATGTTTGGGAACGATCAAATTAGCCTAAAGAACGCCCTCTTCTGCCTCCCACACACTTCCCATCTTTCTTCCGTTATCATTCACTGTCTGGCTAGCAACATCACATTACTACAATAATCACAGCTTTGCGGACTGTCTCAACCTCAGGAGTTCAGCGTGCGTTTCTACAAGCTGATGACACGCGCGGGCCTGACGCTGCTGGAGCTGGCCGCCGAGGGTTGCGGCGCCCCGTCCGACCTGCTGGTCAAGCTGTTCCAGCCTGACCCGGTGTCGACTCTGCGCTACCTACGCTATCCGCCCCGCACCGGAACCCTGCCACCGTCCGCTTACGACCCTTCCGACAGTGAGCACGCCTCGCGCTGCCGATTCTGAGCGCCTCTTTGATGTTGCAGTGAGAGCTGGTGCACTTTTGTACAGCAGTAACACCCATCGTTGCTGCGTATCATCTCACTTGCAATAGGCTGGTAATGAGCGGCCGGTGCTTTATCAAATGCACATCTCAATATGTTGTGCATGCCGTTGATAATCCTTAAAGACATATAATTGACAAAGACTGAGATAGCACGCTCACTTCAGTTTTTTTAACCTTTGGGCTTAGCCAGGTTTGAACTGCGGATGTCCTGAGCGTTTGGTTGTGCCGCTGGCTGGCGGAGCTGGACCCAGCAGGGCCGTCGACGCCTGGCACTGACCGCCCGCTGCTCGCCCGCCCTCCGCAGACGCCGTCGACGCCTGGCACTGACCGTCCGCTGTCCGCCCGCCCTCCGCAGACGCCGTCGACGCCTGGTGCTAACCGTCCGCTGTTCGTCCGCCCTCCGCAGACGCTGTCCTACTGTGCGCCAGCCACCATGACTCGGGCTTCGTCACCATGGTCTCCACCTTCGGCTACGGCGGCCTACAACTGCTGAAGGAGGACGGTGATTGGCTGCCGGTGCCGTGTCGGCCTGGCGCCGTTGTGGTGAATATTGGCGACATGCTCGCCACCATCTCCGGCGGCAAGTGGAAGGCCACCAACCACCGCGTCGTGGACGAGGGCGTCAACAGGTGTGTCAACAGCTGGATATGAATTGGCGTTGTTGTTGGGATTGCTGGACGGCTGATGGTTTGTTGCCTATTGGCTGTGTGCAGGATTGCATTGAATGTTTTTCTTTTTACAGAATCTCTTTCTCCCTCTCTTTATTTTTCTCCCCCTTCCTCCTTCCCTCCCTTCTTTCCTCCCTCTCACCTCCTGAATCTCTCTCCTCTCCTCTTTTCCCCGCTTCCTCCTTCTCTATTCCTCTCCTCATCTCTTCTCATATCATCCATCCTCTCCTCTTCCGTCTTCTTTTCTTCTATCTTCCCCTAACCTACCCTCCCCTCTTCTCTTCTTCTCGCCTCTCTTGTCCCCTCCTCTACCCCAATTATTCTTCTTCTTCCCTTAGTTGTTCAGTTATTTACATATTTAGTCCGAACATACGGGTTGGATGGTTCCTGTTCATTTGTGTCGATTGCTGCACCAGCGCCTACGCTACGCAATGGTTTCGGAGTAAGTCACTGCTCCACTACCCGATCGCGAAATTCCGCATGAACAGCAGAAGTCTGCAGCAAAAGGTTTTTCTTCCTTTGCTTACTTTGTATTATCTATCTCCGGCTCCACCCCTATTTCTCCCTCTCCTACTCTGGACGTTGTTGACCTGGGTCCCCAGTATTTTTGCCTGAACTGTTACAAAAATGTACGGAAAAGTTGTCCATCACACAATAACTATCTTCTTTGATCCTCGTAATGGCGTTGTCATGGAGGGTGCAACGGGCTAACTGACATTGTGACTTTGAGATTATTTAATGAAATTGGTGGGTAGCTAAAACATTGACTGTGGAACATTATCTTTGACGGTTTTCATTTGTTTTGTCTGTCAAATGCAAGCCCGGAGGCTTTTTCCACCCACAGCCCAAGCATCATATTGACGCTAATAATTCGATCATCTCGTGGTCTCTTTCATGAGATATTAGAGACATTTGATCCCCGTACACATGGTAAGGCACGCACCTAGCATTTGCTTAATTGAAGTTGAAATCCGAAGTGCTTTATTGTAGGGTCTTATGATGAAATAAAATCGGGTTTCTTTTTTGGCGTGGCACCGTTAGGCCAGGCCATAGCCAAATAACCATCCTCGACAAGCCATATACAAACACTTACTCTGGAAGGTGAACCCGCCACCACGCGTTTCGCAACGTTATGAATGTTGCCAGTATAACTTAACGCTGCGAACGCAGCTAATGAGCGCTTCAACGCTCATAAGCTGCGTTCTTTTACCAATGCGGAATCTCGCGCTTTACATAGAGACGGTTGCGCATCAGCACCAGTTACTGAACCCCGATTTATTTTCACATTTTTTCATGCATTCAGGCAAAAGAGTTGGCCAATTTCGTATCATGTCTTATGCGTTTTTAATGCCGCTTCTTGCCCATTATTTGTCAAATACTGGGAGAACACAGATAGAAATGAGTCAACCAATGGAAGCATCAGTAAAAAGGGAAGTACATTCCATACATTTACATACAAGACACTGTTGGTCGCGATATCGCATTTCAGGTAGCAACGGGCTGTACGTTAATAAGGTCCAACACCAATGTATTCACAACAACGAAAGTGAGAGCAAGGTTTGAGCGAGTAAGTGATTCTGTGACCCGAGTGCATGGAATGTGAGGATTGTTGCTTTAGCGTAGTTATGTTTTTGCATGGTATCTTAAGGCAGCAATAATGCCGGCAGATGATTTGAATGATGGACATGAGCTAGAGTGATGGAGGGAGGGCTATGTTCGTGCAGTCATTGTTCATCCCTTGCACGAACTCTAGAGCCGTAATCCTTCACTGAAAATTTAAGATTTTCACCCTGATACCTTATAGAACTTCGACTTTTGTTTCGGCGCACCGCCGACCGTTGTACATGTGACGGCTTGACATTCAAGGTTTCCAGAAATCCTAAACTTAAACATTTGGAATGGCCCAGCAACACCAAACAAGCAAAATATCACGGCTGAAGCTATGCAGACATACACATTGGACCTTGGCAAACCCGTTTATGTATAAAAGGGCTCAAACCCGCGAGATAGCTGAACCTATTAGATCCATGGGCGCATCTGAGTGCGATATGACCATCGCCTTTCATACCACGCGCCAAATGCTAACGACTATTTTGCCTTAAATCATTTTTGCTGTGTACTTGTGCAGATATTTTCCAATCTACTTTTACTAATGTAGATTGTTTGTACTTCGAATTGCTTTCCAAGTTGACTTTTCACCCTGTGCCCTACCACACTTTTCTTCGACTGTTTCTGACTGGGATTTTATCCCTATCGACTTTTATCCCTTCCGATCTTTTCCCTTCGACTTACTCCCGAATTATTTTGCGCCATGTCGGCTAGTATATGTTTCGACATTTTATATCTGGCCTTTTTTGTTCGGCTGTTTTCAGTCGACTTTTATCTCTTTTGACGTTTAGTCCTTCAATTTGTCCGATTCGACGTTTGACCCCCCGTTGACTTTTATCCCATTTGCCTATTTTTGATAGACTTTTTCCTTCGACTTTTCCATTCGACTTCTTTGCCCGCCAACCATACTGGGTATGCACTCGGCACTCAAACGAAGGCCCACCAGGTGGGCATTTAAGCCCACTCATGGCTGGTGCACGAAGCCCATGATAAATGGGCGTCATGAGGATGTAATGTGAAGCGAAAATGAGAAAAGAAGGGTGAATGCTACTTAATAGTCTCTTAATAAAACCCTCAATATTCGACGCTCAGTAAACAAGCCGCTGTAATAAAAACGGCCGAGAAGGAGCTTGCTTATTCTTTTCCTTGAGTAGAGTTTCGGAATTAAATCAGGCTTTAGACTGCAAGGGAAAAATGTCTCCGTGTGCGGCAGAGAATGCTACCATTTCATAATAAGTAATCTTGCGCATTCAAGTCATTCTTATTTTGTACGCTGGTTATTTGACACTTCGTAATGCTGACAAGGAACCAGCCCCCATGTAATGGAACTGGCTTCAGTGTTATGATATGTATCCTTTCCGCGGACATTCACTCTCACCTCAGACGCACAACAGCAATTTGGTAACATGCATGCATGTGGCGGTCCCACTAACAGCACATGCATTTTCTACAGCACAGTAACGACAGTCTCGTACCAACCATTACTTATGCAGTGCATTATGTGCATCCAATTGGAGCGGCTTGTTTCTATCCTCAATAGCGTGAAATATTGGTTGATATCAATTGTTCATTATGAGTTATTGAAAATAATTGATCATTGTTGAGCATTATTGGTTATGATGATGTTGATTGCAATCGTTGATGAGATGACACAGTGAAATTGAAAAGCTGTGGTCCGACGGCAGATTCAGACAAAGAGTTTCGCCAGCCGATCGCGAATCGCGTAAAAATAGACACTAAATAAAGTACCACTGTTTTGCGCGGGACGCTGCGCCTACATCCAAGGACAATCAAGAGATCGGAGTAGTTTATGTGATTTGGCCGAATGGTTTGGCCTGCAAACCTGTAACTGGATTCGTTGATAAAGCCGGTTGTTTACTACCATATGGGCAAAAAACGTGTATTTTGTCGCATAGAGCAGTGCATCTACCACCCCTGGAAAAACCTTCACCTCTTAAAAAACCGTGTTTGGTCTTACCGCCAAATAACAATCGCGACAGCTGGATGGATAAACGATGCAATTAACGGAACACTGGAATGACCTAAGCCGTTCATAACTAACCCAGATTCCGTCTCCCACATCGCCCATGGCCGCCACAGAAGAGGGCTCTCGGCGCCTTACGGCGGCCTCTAGAGAGGTGGTCTCCGATCAGAAAGGGCAAGTACCTCCAGTGCCCCTTTCCATTCTAGGTCCGGCCCTGCATAGCTACTATGCTACTCAAGTGAACTACGATTTTTTATTATAGGAAATTTAAGATATGAATTGCCTTTTCCCAAAAACTGGGCCAATTCCGCTGACAGAAAAAAAAACATGATTGAGGGGGAGTAGGTCATCGGGCGCTCGGCCCGACCCTCCCAGTCATTTAGAAAAATTGACAACCCTGGGTTGGGGGGGGGGGGGGGGGGTACAAGCTCTCACTCGTGAACACAAGCCTAGCTTGGAGCGTCAAGTACTATGAAAAAACCATGTTTACACCATGACGTCATTTAACTCGCACCCGGGGGTCAATTTGATCTCTTCCGAATGTTTTTCCAGAGTAATTTCCAAACGGCGCGGCGTAGCCGTGCCAAATTTTGCATAGATGCAGGCTACATTTTTGTGGGTAAGAATTAAATGCACCGCATAAGGTCGCTTACCTATGGCAAGCATAAGTCAAGCAATGGCTGCAAGCCGGGGTCATTTCTAAGGAATCGTTCCAACTGGTGCGAACGCAAAGTGTTAGACGGCATCACGTACCTTTTATGAACTCCTTTTAAGTCAGAAAAGATTACTGACCTAAAATAGCCGAGGGCAGCCTTTTGTTTTTAGGAGCATACCGCCAAGCATACCGCCAAGCTATGCCGCCCTTGGCGCTTATTCGAATGCGAAAAATATAAGCAATCGTTTAGCTCAGAACAGGCGTGTTAGTTCACGGTGGTTTTATGACTAGGTATGGAGGCAGTTTTGACACCAATCTGTCCATTTTCCAATCCTTCTGTCGAATTTGTACCTGTTTAATCTTACCTGACTCGAAGTTCACAATCCAGGAACTAAAAATTTTGACAAAATTGAACTCACATACAGGCCGACTCACGCCGTAAATTTGTCGTCTCTAGTTCTTTTAGTTTTAAATAAATTTGGAGATGTCAAATTGACTTCCACGCAAGCGAAGGGTATTTAACCGGTCACCCGGCAGCCTGTTAACCCGTACTTCGTGGTATATTAAAAGTCAATAAGCATAAGAACTCTGAACTCATAACTTCCCATTCTCTGTTCTTTTCGTTTTCGCTTTGTGTTCTTTGCACCCCATTGATGATTCAAGCACGAGATGACGACTGCAGCCGGTGTGGGCGTCGCTCTTTCTGTGCGCTGACCCGGTCCCCATCCCCGGCAGCTGCGCGCTGACCTGGCCCCCACCTCCGGCAGGTTCTCTGTGCCGTTCTTCCTGGAGCCGCGGTACTCAGCCAACATGTCGGTCCGCCTGCCCGGCTCCGGCCAGGCCGAGCCGGAACCGGTCAGCTACGGACCCTGGGCCATCACCAAGATGATCAACAGCTTCTACGAGTTCAAGGACATCCCTTACCCCAAGTCTCTGGTGGCTGAATAACGCACGTTGCTTTGGAGTTGCGCTGGAATCAGAGTCTACTCGGATGGTCCGGATGGTTACAATCTACCCGGATACCCAGAGTCTACCCGGATGGGTTGCTGGTTCCCAGTGCGACGTGACGGCTGCCGTGCGTAAAATCGAAGAGGAACAATAAAAACGTCACTGCCGCCATGGAATTCGCAAAATGCAAGCATGCAATAAACGTTTCGTTTCAGTGGCAGTCGAGACTGTCGTTTCTTAGCGTCCGTCAGAAGTGCCATCCGGTTCGAATTTACTGTACATCGCAACGATGCTAGGTCGCTTCGGCCTTAGCCGCGACGGCCCAGGTGACTAAATAGTTGGACCGAATTCATAAGATGCGTCTTGCTGCCACGCCGCGCGAAGCCCCGGCTTAGAGCCCAAGTAATCACCATGATTTCTTCGGAAGCTTACGCATTAGGTTGTAATCATTACGCGAAGCTTTACGATCGAGACGGACGCTGGCCCTGCCAGAGGCACAACCGATATCCCATTAGCTGATGGGTAACCACGTTATCACCTGTAATCGGAACGAGGACATTCGGACGTAATGGACGCCGGGTGGGTAATCTGGCATTTCTTTGACGCATCCATGTCATGCTATGGACACTTTGTGCGTGTAATTTACGTTAAGCCTCGCATGCATTGGTTAGGTCAACTTGCTTTGGGTTGTTTCCGTTCTTAAACTTGCATAGAAGCCCTCCAGTGCGTGAGGTATTTCACAACGACTGAGTTCGACCTCCGCGGACAAAGCCTTAGTTGAGTCTCTACGGCAGTCAGCGTATTCGTGCCGCAAAACAAAAGTTACGACTCACCAGCAATACTCATATGACACCACTATGCGCGCGGCGGTTGAGAGCTTCGATCCCGCGGCAGTGTCAGTGTCATGTGTCAGCCAGATGCACGCGCGCAACACACGCGCCCCCCGCGCTTTACGCGCCGCCAGAGAATTGACTTCCGGTAGGGATTTCGCGGATGCTGATCTGGAGCCGGTTGATCGAGCGTGTTCGCTGAGCTCCTTGCGCACAACTCGTGCTTGATCAACCCCAGACATGTTCTGTTTGGCGTGAAGCTGGGGAGCGCTGGACGCGTTCATGTCACGTGGTATGACGGAGCGTTGGCCTCCCCAGCAGTTCTAGTGTATCACGGGCGCGATGAGCGCTTGGGAGATCTGGCCAGCGCACCTCCGAGTTGTCTGGCCAGAGATTCTTCTGAGCCGCCTGGCAGGGGCACCTTGCCAGCGTCCTTGTTTTGTTCTGACGCGATCTTAAACTTGTTATCTTCGACTCAGTCATGCGGACTTCTTCAACGCAGCTGCGGCCTGACTTGAAAATAACATTCGCAGCCATCCTGTGGTCTCAATATACCTGCCACGCAAGTTTTCGAAGCTGTGACACATACGCGCCTGAAAGCCAAAGACCAGTCCGTCCTTCTCAGGATCGGTTAATACCTGCCGACGCCCGAAGGACTAAATGTCCGAAGCGGCGAGTGCGTGCGAGCACGCAAGGCAAAGACGATCCATCCGGACAACTCTTCCATCCGTGATGTCAATACATCGCCTCAACTACTCCGGGAAACGGGAAACCGCGATTATATATTTTATTTCCATGACGTCTCGGAACGAAATGACACTGCGCGTGTGAACAGGCTCAATAACGCTGACCATGTTTTTTAACGGGAAGACGTTTATCACAACGGCGGACGTTACAATTCATTTGCCGCGCAATACGCTCAACATTTCATCAACCCTTCCGCGTGCATGCATCTATGTGTATGCTTGTGTGTGTATATACGTTTGTGTGTGTGTGCACGTCTGCATGTGCGAGTATCTGTGTTTGCGTGTGTGTTTGTGTGTGTGTGTGCATGTACGTGTGTTTTCGTGTGGATTTGTGTGTGTGTGTGTGTGTGTGTGTGTGTGTGTGTGTGTGTGTGTGTGTGTGTGTGTGTGTGTGTGTGTGTGTGTGTGTGTGTGTGTGTGTGTGTGTGTGTGTGTGTGTGTGTGTGTGTGTGTGTGTGTGTGTGTGTGTGTGTGTGTGTGTGTGTGTGTGTGTGTGTGTGTGTGTGTGTGTGTGTGTGCGCGTGTGTTTTTGTCTGTGTTTCCTGACATCACACATAACAGCAAAAAGCCATCCGAGCATTGCGCAAAAGGTTAGTCAGAAAAGGCGCTAGATCTGCCCATTCACTTCAAAATGCTTCTAAATAGCTTTTTATTTGATATACTTATTGCACCACCCGGGCCTCTATTTTAATACGCTCTCGGTTGGGGGGTCAAATTGAACCCCCCGAAGGATTTTCCAGAATGGTTTCCGAACGGCGCGGCGTAGCCGTGCCAAATTCTGCGTAGCTGTAGACAATTGAATAGTGGATCGCTTGGCATTAAGAATTTAGACGTACCTTGTAAGGTCGCTGACCTATGGCAGGTCAAAATTAGGACACGGTTTCAGCGAAGGCAATTTCTAGGGAATCCTTCAATCTGATCCAACAACGGAGCGTTAGACGAAGCCATACATCTCTGAGATGCTATCTTAGACAACACAACAGTTGAAAAAGCAAATAAAGTTTACCTGAGGTCAGTTATAAAGGTCACACCAAGGTCAAAACCAACCTGTTTTGTTACTCTAGGGCTTGCTGTATGGGATAGTTTCTGGTGCTCATTTCGAATTTATAGATAGCAGGGACCGCATTATACATCTTCCATGAACTTCTTAGAGGTCAGAATAGGCCATTGACCTAAAATGACCCAGGTCAGCATTTTGTTTTAGGAACGTACTGCCTAGCGTAATCTTTGTCACTTAGTCAAATGCAAAACGCAAGGCAATCTTGTATGATTTTGTCACCTTGACCTTCAAAACGTCAAACATGGTCACTGACCTTGAATGAGAATGTGACCTTTTGCTTGGAAACAGCTATCTAGGTTCTGGGAGCACTTTGGAGACCAGCCTGGAACTTGACATTATTTGACCTCATTTACCCGAAGGTCACGACCTAAGAACCCGAAAATGTGACCTAAATGAGTTCAAGTACAGGTCAAGACACTCTGCAAATTTGGTGTCTCTAGCTTTCTTAGTTTTTGAGATCTCAGGGGGGTCAAATTGATCCTCACATCCGAGCGAAGGGTATCTAGCCGGCCACCCGGGCGCGTGTTAAATGTCAGAGAGCAAGAAACTTTAGGCTTAGTGCCTGCATTTTAAGCCTTGTAAATCACAGCTTTTGCTATCGTTATAATCAGTATTTGAACAGAGTTTGTTTCTTCTAGGCAAAACCGAGGCTGTACTAATAACGGAAATATTTATCAATATTCACGAGGAAGCTTTGTTTGCATATCTTTAAGAACTTATTACACGGCTGGGCATTGCCAAAACAAATGCATTATCGTTTCAGCCTCGCAAGAACAGAACGTGCAGGGCCTGATTTCGGATGGTCCCACGGTATGCACAAATCCTTTCGTTCTGATTATTCTGTTTGCGATTCTGTAATTAAGACATCGCAAATATGTTCCTTCCGTGGCTTACGTCACTCCGAAGTATGCGACTTTTTGGAAGCATCCTATGTATCGGTACCTTTTTTCAGCAACTAGACGCTTGGTAGGCGTTTCTTTGCGTAGTAAACAAGAAAGTCGTAGCAATAGCGATATAATTTCCTTCCATGCATTACCACATTTAGCGTGTGTGGGACATTTTGCCGTGCAAATGGGATTTGCATCGTTGAATTATTTGTCTGCTTGGGCAGGCTTTGAGGGAGATAAAAAAGCGTCCATTCACCTACAAGCGTGGGAGATCAATATCAACGTCTGTACTTCATCAAAAAAGACTGAAAGGCTCTCATTGTTTAAATTTCTAGTAAACATGCTTGCTCACGAAAGGATGATCGCGATGAAATCACACGCATTACGACACTGAAAGTCCAGACCTTTTTCAGGACTGCCGCGTGGGGAAACAATTTGGGAGAAATTTGTGGGCACACTACACGGTCTCCCATCTTTAAAGAGTTACTAAATTTTCAATACACTTCTCGTCCTTACTGTGCTGTTTCCTGCTCAGCGTACACAAGCTGATCGGTCGCTGAAGCCGTTGACTCATCCCATGAAACCTATATGACGTCATGTGACCGTCAGGCTGAGTTTTTGCATCAGCTTCGTTTGTTGAAGGAGTCAAATCAGTAATCAAATTTATCAATACAACTTAAAGTATCTTTCTTATTGGCACCAAATTAAGTTGCATCAATCACGATTTAAAAATAATGTCGTCCTAACTATCTTTGTGAATAACTTCGTTATCGACAGAGTGGTGCGGTTTGCGTTAGGTTACATCATTACGTAACTGAGCGGTGTCAATCATCTGGGTTCGCGTCCCGGTGTGTGTTTTACCAGAGGGATTGTGAGGAACTGGTAAGTGTAGCTAATTCTAAATGCAGCGATCGATGGGCGAGTATTGTGAGTTGTAAGTGGAGGCTAGCTACCCACGTGCCTTAGTAGAGTTATGTAGATAGGGAGCACCCATTTTTGCACAGATGCGGGGATTCTTAGTTTCAGTTTATTTTAGTTTCAGTGGTTTCACAAGATGAGTGTGTGGGGGGGGGGGCTGAACTGTGAAAAATGACCCATCCTACCCTCAAACATGTCAACAAATAAGTTTCTTCCCAGATTGGGCCCACGTTCTTTAGTTTTTGCTTTAGCCCTTCCTTTAGCTTTTTTTTTACTTTAGTTTTTTTATAGTTTTTTTTACTTTAGTTTTTACTTTAGCCCTTCCCCCTTGCCCCCCCCCCCCCGGGGGGGGGCAAGGGGGAAGGGCTGAACCCCCAGCTGAACAGGAAACTACATCCCTGCATAGGTGCCTGTCCAACAATGTGCGTAGTGTATAGGGCTGTGAATGGAGCTTGACACTGAATATCTAGATTCTGAACATTTCCTGTTTTGTTACGGGAAGATGCTCAGTTCACTGCAGTTTACACATGGTAATGCAACCCAACATCAGGCCTCATCGTGCGGACAAGATCGTTGTGAAATTCATTTATGTTATATTTAAAGAGACGATGGGCGCGGGCAGATTTGACAACATTTGGTCAGGACAGCACCTGAAAAATTCCGTGATAAGGTTGTTTTTTTGTGACTTTAATGGTGATAAATCAGCACAAGAAGGCAAAACGATTAAAGTCCAGTGATATTTCCATTTCAAAAGTATACTTACCTGCCATGTAGTGTTACAAATGAGGCAAGAGAGGGCTGATTTTCGAGCAAGATTCAAACTGGCTGATGC